AATGGCCGACACCCTGTTTCCTGGCAACTAATGGCCTGGGCCCTTCCCCCCCTGCAAGTTGAGAGCTAAAGGGTTGGAGAACAAAGGAATCAGGTGACCACCTGGCCCGGGAAAGGAACAAAGCCCAGAGGAGGAGGGGCTGGAGGGGGTTTTCAGTTTGGGGCTGGCTGGGACATGGAGTGAAGTGCAGACGTGGTTGTCTGGCTCACTGCCCCCCAAAATGGACCCAGCTGAGGGGTCCCGTTCTCTGCACCTGCAAGCTCTGTTTTAGACCATGTTCCTGTCGTCTAATAAACCTTCTGTTTTACTGGCTGGCTGAGAGTCACGTCTGACTGCGAAGTTGGGGTGCAGGACCCTCTGGCTTCCCCAGGAGCCCCGCCTGAGCGGACTTGCTGGGGGAAGCGCACGGAGGGGCAGAGGATGCTGAATGCTCCGAGGTCAGACCCAGGAAGGTGGAAGCTGTGTGAGCGTGTGTCCTGCAGACAGGCTGCTCCCAGAAAGGCGACTGCCCCAGAGTCCTGCCTGGCTTCATGGGGAGCAGTTCCAGAGCATCGCCCAGGGACTCCGTGACAACTGGTGGCAGCGGTGGGATGTACTGCACCCCGTGGATGGCGCTTCCTGCAGTAAGTGACTGGGGAGCAGTAACACGAAGGGGGATTGCCGAGGACCAGGCCTGCTGAAGGCTCAGAAAGGAGCGGTTTCGGGGGCGGTTAACCCCTGGGAGTGTGTGACCAGCGAGAAGGATGTGCAGTAATGGGGTCCCCTGGGGATTGCAGCAAGCAGTCCAAGGGGCGGAGGAGTCTGCAGCTCGACCCTGGCAAAGAGGTGGTGACCTCGAGAAGGGCTGGCACACTAGGGGTTCTCCCTGGAAACCGTGGGGAGCTGAGAACACAGGGCCTGTGAGTCCACAACAACTTGGGAGGAGCGGAGTGATGGCCTGTCACGTCTCCTTAAGAAGGACATTGTAACCCTGTGCAGAAAAGAGGGTTGAGCATTGGAAAGTTCACCAAAGCAGAGTTAATCGTGCAGCTGGAGGAGGATGACCGCTCTAAGGAACAGATTCCTGACCCCAACTGGGGCTATAGCAGGATCTGGGAGCAGCTGAAGGGGAGCCAGGCACCCCCAAGACTCCTGTCCCCGACCAGACGAGGGTCTTCACGATCGGGTTCCCCATCGGGGGATTGGAGAGGGACGGGATTGGAGCTGAGTCTGAGAGAGAAGGGACCCTGGGAGACAGCGAGAGCCCGAGAAAGAGCTGCAGAAGCAGCAGCAGGATGAACTGGCGGTGGGGGAGCGGAGAGGCCTAGGGGACCTCCCGGGGTGAGTGGGGATAGATCCGGGGGGCCAGTTCCGCAGGGAACCTCGAGACTAAATTGCTGCCCCTGGTTAAGGAGGGGGTGTGTGGATGCCCACCTCACTGCCTTTGAGCAGGCTGGCGATTTGAACCAAGGGGACCCTGGAAAAGCCCGGTGTCTAGCTCCCTTGCTGGGTCCCAAGGCCATAGACTCCGTCAGCCAGATGGGTGGGGAGGTGGACAGGCTCCCACTCCTGACCCCAACCTATATGTCTGTGTGGAGTTCCTGGGGCCAGGCCCCCGGACCTCCAGTGGGAGCAGAAGGTGATGGTCAATGGGGAGACATTCTTGGGGTGGCCAAAGGGCATGGGCTTAATGTATTAGGCTTAGACTTGCGTGTTTTGTTTTATTTTTCCTGGTAACTTATTTGTTCTGTCTGTTATTACTTGAAACCATTTAAATCCTACTTTTTATATTTAATGAAATCACTTTTGTTTATTAATTAACCCAGAGTAAGTGATTAATACCTGGGGGAGCAAACAGCTGGGCATCTCTCCCTATCAGTGTTATAGAGGGTGGACAATTTGAGTTTACCCTGTATAAACTTTATACAGAGTAAAACGGATTTATTTGGGGTTTGGATCCCATTGGGAGCTGGGTGCTGGAGACAGGTGACCTGCTGAGCAGTTTTGGGTTCAAGTCTGCAGCGTTGGGGGTGTGGCCCAGACCTGGGTCTGTGTTTGCAGCTGGCAAGCATGTCTGGCTCAACAAGGCAGGGTTCTGGAGTCCCAAGCTGGAAGGGAAAATGGGCTCAGAGGCAAATTCAGCACGTCAGGTGAGACAGGGCATTGCAGGTGTTCTCCTCACCCTGGTCGAATGCCTTGTGCGGGTTGTACCTGGGGGGTGCAGGGGTGGAATGAGCCGGGGACGTCTGCCCGTTTGAGTGATTCATAGCAGGCATACGAGGCACTTTTGGGGGAGCCTTGTCCAGGCCTGCCATGGGTCAGCTCTCTCAAACCACCACCCCTGGCAGCGCAAGCCTGACCTTCCAGCCCCCTGCAGGCCTCGCTCTCTGTGTACAGGTTAGCGATAGACACTCCCAAAGCCTCTGAGCGTCCCTCGGGAGTGCTCAGCCCGTTCCCCGGAGCACACGCAGAACTGTGACTCTAATCCCACAGGCGCGGTCCACAGCAGCTTGTAAGATTCAGTTCAGGCCAACCACTCTATTGAGAACCCAGCAATTAGATATACAGAAAACAGGAATGAGTTTATTATCAAAGAGCAGAGATGCAAGCGAGAGTGAATAAATACTGGTAACACCCATTGTTTCATGTTCTGTGTGTATATAAATCTCCCCATTGTATTTTCCACTGAATGCATCCGATGAAGGGAGCTGTAGCTCACGAAAGCTTATGCTCAAATAAATTGGTTAGTCTCTAAGGTGCCACAAGTCCTCCTTTTCTTTTTGCAAATACTGGAAAGTAATGGTTACATAGAAAACAAAATCCTAACACTTTCTAGAGCTGGGGTTCTCACAAATTTTTGGCAGCCTCAGAATGAGGCTCTGACAATACTTAACTAACTGTAGGAAAAACAAATAAATAAATTACATGTGCATATTTACATAGGGATTTTTTGCAGACTCAATAATAAATATAAGGTACAGTTGTGTCTTATCTTTACTGGACCTAAACACAGAACAAACCAGTGCTTTGCACAGTCTTGTCTTTTTTGTTGTTCTTTTGCTTTTTTGGTCAAAGGTGGACGGCTGTACAACAATTCTGAACTAAATTTAAAAATGCTTTACATAATAGAAAGGATAATGACTTATAATGAAAGAATGTATCTGCCAATATGTCCAAAGTTTCTTTCACAGACAAAAAAACCCAATCAACATAGCCCAGTAATAATAATGATAACAGTAACAACAAAGTCTGAGCTGTTGCTGTTGTCTTTTCAGCTTGGTTTTTGCATCATTTAACAGCTTGCGCCTCTGAAGCTCACCGTAGTAATTTGGTTCAACTTCCCTTGCACAAGTGCTGTAGGGACGTTGCACGACATACATTTCAATTTGATGAATTTCTCTCTCACACTGCAACTTGTTCAGAAATGGAATCAGATGGCTTCGGAAACACAGGAAACTGCCTTTCCCCCTGGTGCTGAAGTGTTTCTTTTTCTTTCTATGTTTTGCTTTTCTTAGCAGAAGGTCCCAGAGGAGCCACCTGCTGTCACATTCAAGGTCATTTTCTGGCACTAGATTATCTGAAATACTTTCTGATACCCAGTCACATTTTAACTTTTTCACCTCCCTCCCCACCCCCATGAACAATCGCAACCTGCCCAAACACCACGCAGTGAGATGGCCCATAGCCACTTACAGAGCTACAATAACATGAGATGTAAACACAGTGGTTAGAGGTCTATAAAATCATGAGTGGTGCAGAGAAAGTGACTAAGGAAAAGCTATTTACTTGTTTCCATAACACAAGAATTAGGGGCCACCAAATGAAATTAATGGGCACCAGGTTTAAAACAAATAAAAGGAAGTTCTTCCTCACACAGCGCACAGTCAACCTGTGGAACTCCTTGCCTGAGGAGGTTGTGAAGGCTAGGACTATAACAGGGTTTAAAAGAGAACTGGATAAATTCATGGAAGTTAAGTCCATGAATGGCTATTAGCTAGGATGGGTAAGGAATGGTGTCCCTAGCCTCTGTTTGTCAGAGGGTGGAGATGGATGGCAGGAGACAGATCACTTGATCATTGCCTGTTAGGTTCACTCCCTCTGGGGCACCTGGCGTTGGCCGCTGTCGGCAGACAGGATACTGGGCTGGATGGACCTTTGCTCTGACCCAGTATGGCCGTTCTTATGTTCTTAGCCAAAGAATACACTTTCTGACTTGAAAGAAAACCACACCTATGTAGCTCAGCTCTGCCGGCATGGTACTATTTAAAAGGGAGCGCGCATGAGGATTTATGGCATTTAGAAGACACCTTTAATACTTAACATCTGAGCGATTGTTGGGGCACTTTGGAGGCTCTTGTGGCTGCAAACAATCAGCTGGTAGCTGCATTTGAGAAATGCTGTTCTGGAGTCTAAACGAACAAGGCCTTCCCTTAGCCACATGCTGGGGAAATGAGGTAAGACTCCTTCTCATGAGATCACTCCCTCTCAGCTGCAGAGAAAAGCTTGACAACGTGACCCTGAGTTTAAAAGGTTCAAAAGCAGAAGGCACATACGGAGTTTAAACGAGACACACTTATTGCTTGAGGGCCCCACTGCCTGATTTTGAGATCTTGGCTCGTTCAAGTAGGTGTGAGTTGTATAAGTGTCACTTCTAGGAGTCTCATTTTGAGCCCCTTTCGAGTGCAGTCTCTTTTCCCATCTGTCAAGGTTCCTTCCCCACTTTGAACTCTAGGGTACAAATGTGGGGACCTGCATGAAAACCTCCTAAGCTTACTTTACCAGCTTAGGTTAAAACTTCCCCAAGGTACAAACTATTTGACCCTTGGACTTCCACTGCCACCACCAAACGTTTAACCGGGTTTCTGGGAAAGTGTTGTTTGGAAACGTCTTTCCCCCCAAAATCCTCCCCAAAACCTTGCACCCCACTTCCTGGGGAAGGTTTGGTAAAAATCCTCACCAATTTGCATAGGTGACCACAGACCCAAGCCCTTGGATCTTAGAACAATGACAAAAGCATTCAGTTCTTGAAAAGAAACATTTTCATAGAAGAAACAGTAAAAAGAAAAGGATCACCTCTGTAAGATCAGGACGGTAAATACCTTACAGGGTAATTAGATTCAAAACATAGAGAATCCCTCTAGGCAAAACCTTAGGTTACAAAAAGACACACAGACAGGAATATTCATTCTATTCAGCACAACTGATTTTATCAGCCATTTAAAGAAATCATAAGCTAACGCATATCTAGCTAGATTACTTACTAAGTTCTAAGACTCCATTCCTGTTCTGACCCTGGCAAAAGCCTCACCCAGACAGACACAGACCCCTTTGATGTTCTCCCTCTTTCCAGCTTTTGAAAGTATCTTGTCTCCTCATTGGTCATTTTGGTCAGGTGCCAGCGAGGTTATCCTAGCTTCTTAACCCTTTACAGGTGAAAGGATTTTTCCTCTGGCCAGGAGGGATTTTAAAGGTGTGTACCCTTCCCTTTATATTTATGACACCATCACATACACCTCAGGTTTGCTACAGATCCACCGTCTTCCCATGTAGCACCGTGAGCGGCTGACCCCTTTCTCGTTGTTCAGATACGCGCAGTCACCTCCTCCTCTTAAGTGAAACCTGCAACACAGAAGCCAGGGAGCTGCAGTCAGGCAGAGGCCAGGCATTTCACACCAGTCCCAGCCAGGGGAGCCGTTCTCCACAGTGCAGGCCTGAGTGCGGAGCAGCTACTCTCCCAGCCCCTCAGGAGCAGAGCTCAGGACAGCGGGGGCTTTGCAGAACCGCTGACTGTTCCTGACCCTCTATGCTGAGCAGCCCACAGGGGTGCTGGAGAATGGACAGTCCCCAGCAGGACAGAGAGAATTTGTTAGACTGATTGTCAAAAGGGACCGGCCCTCTAACAAGAGGGGCAGACCATCACCAGAACCAGACGACTGAGCAGGAAAAGCGGGGGGACAGGAGGGATCTCGCCTCCTTGAAACACATGGAGCAGAACCAAGATGACACTGAAAGAAGAAATTGCATTCAGGGGTTTCCTTTTCCGTTGATCTATAACTCTTGAGCTTTCCATTGGGGATGGGGGAAAAAGAGAGTGTTGAAGAAGTTCCTTTGTGAAAGCATGTGTTCCTTGTTTGTAACCCTCACGTGACTCTCCCAGAGTTCATCTGGTGTGGAGGGTGGAGCTCTAGGGACAACATGCCTCTCGGGAGATTTGGGAGGGTTCAGCACTGGTTTTGGGTCCTACAGCAGCTGATCTGCAGGGTCCCACATCCTAAGGAGCATACCAGACAGGGAGTCTGTACCCCAGGAGAGTGCCACAGAGGCCCGAACTCAGGACAGTGTCTGGTAGCTCTTCAGACCCAGTGAGGCTGGAAGCAGGTGGGATCCAAAGGTTGGGTCCAATACAGCAGAATGGGGACTGTCCATTGGGGAGCCCTGACCCAGCGCCAAAAGAGCCTGATTTTTCAAAGTACTGAAGTAACCCAGACCAGAGAAGTGTGGGGGTCTCCATCCCCCTCTAATGGCTGGCCTGCAAAAGAGCTTTATCAATCGGGGGGGGGGTTCAGTTAAAGAAGTGGATTCTTTCGCTCCTATGGCAGAGGCTCATGCTTCTAGTCCTGAAGTCCCAGGGTTCAAGCAGCGCTGGTTTTGTGATCACACTTGGAGCCCACTGAAACCCATCGCGGGGTGTTGGCTGGGCAGCCATCACTACTGTACCCCGTTCCCGTGGGAGCCCCAGGCGTCCAGCACCTGTGAACCGCAGGCTCCTTTAACATCGGTGCCTTGTTGCGGATTCAGAGGCCTCACCAGCCAAGTCACTCAAACCTGCCGGCTGCAATCCCCAGCGGGACCTGCACCTGCCATGCAGTGCTCGGCATGCTGCCCTCTCTAGCAGCCACTGATAACCTGAGCTCCCTGCTGCCTCCTTTCCCCGGGGGGGTCAGACACCCCAGGGACCTTGCTGAAGAGGGCTGGGGGAGAACAGCGAGTGTCCCAGCTGAAATCCCAGCGCGCTGCGAGGGCATCTCTGGCTGTGGCGGGCTCTGTCTCCGGCCCAGCTCCGTGCTGCGGGGAGGAGCCGAGAGTTCAGGGACACGCCGGCTCCCATCGGTCTCCGATACACGCAGGACGCGAACGGACCAGGGTCGTGTCTGGTTGTTTCACTAGCACTGAGTGGTGGATCTACCTGAGCTCAAACAGCTCAGACACCAGAATCCCAAGCCCAGGGGATTAGTCCAGAGGGGCGAGAGAGACTCACAGGTGGTTGAATTTGGTGCTGTTGGTCCATTTCCAGGGCTGACCCTGTTCCCTCCGGAGGCCGATCCAGTGGTCCTGGACACCCTTATGGCGCAGCAGGAACGCCTTCAAGAAAGCCGAGGGACAGCAGGTATCAGCCCCAGCTCCGGTGCTTCCCCACCCCCACCCCTCCAGGGCTCTGTGCCGCAGAGAATCCCAGTCTCATATTCATAGAGTGTCAGGGTTGGAAGGGACCTCAGGAGATCTTCTAGTCCCACCCCCATCCCCAATTAAATCATCCAACAGATTTTTGCCCCATATCCCTAAATGGCCCCCTCAAGAATTGAACTCACAACCCTGGGTTTAGCAGGCCATTGCTCAAACCACTGAGCTATCCCTCCCCCCATATTGAAGAGTGCTCAGTTTATTTTTTGGGGGGGGGGGGTGTTCCCCTGCCTTTTGCAAAGTACAAGATCACCCAGGCAGTATTAACCCTCCCCCTGCACAGAGCAGCCCCACCCCTGTGCTCCCAGTCACCCACACCCCAAGTCCCCCTGGGCTGGGGGCAGCTGCTGGGTCTGAGCTCTCTGCAGAGACCTCTCTTCTCACAGATCAGCCCCCGCTCACCACAGCAAGGCAGGAGGAGGGAGCGAGTCAAGCTGAAGTGGGAGCGAGTCAAGCTGAAGTCAATGTGAGAGGATCCCCTCCTCCCCCGCCTCCTCGGCTGGCTGCTCCTTTCCCATCCCCACAACAGGAGCACTGGCTGGGTTCTCAGTCCCACTCCAGCAGCCAGCAGGCCAGGAGCTGCCTGAGCCAGCCCTGCCCTAGACAGAAGCTGTCTCCCTATTTGGGGAGGGGGGCAGCTGAGAATGGGCAATCCCTGTGATCACACACAGACAGTAGGGCCCTGGGCCCAGCCAGGGCTGGCGTTCAGCAGCTGGAAGTTCATTCACTCTGGCCTCCCAGCACGGGAGGGCTCAGAGCTGCTCCTCACCCCACGGGGCAGAGCCCAGGTCCTACTGCAGCAGCCACCACTGTGCCAAGATCAGTGTATGGCAATTCGAGAGTCTCTCACCATTTCCTGCTCACTGTCGATCCCAGCCAGGGAGGCACCCGGTGCACAGCAGCGGCTCCGGCTGTCGGTCCAGCTCCCTTCCGTCTCTGAGAAATAGTAGCATTTCCCTCGGTATCCCATCCAGCCGTCCGGGCATGAGGGGCCAGCAGGGGGGCACAGATCAGCTGATGAAAGCTGAGATGTCAGCACTGAGAATGAGACAGTCACATGGAGGGTAAGAGTTACACCTAGAATTGGGCATTTGACTGGTACAAAAATTGGTCAACTGACCAGTCAAATCTGTCAAAGAGTGGTCAGATATTTTAAAATACCAATTTATCAGAATTGGTTACCTCCCGCCAGGAACAAAAAAGAGCAAGACGTCATTCTCTCCAGTAGGTTTAGCTTTCGATAGATACGGATCTACCTAATTTTTTTTAAAAAATGTACTTCACTGAGTTATTTTAGCTCAGAAAAAAAAGGCAAAACAATGAAACCAGGTTCCGGAAAACACAAGTGAGGCTCCAAGACGCAATCCGAAAGGCAGGCTGCCTCCTACCCCCAGGGCTCTCGCTGGAGTATTTGACTGTGGCCAAACAGTCAGTCAGTTGACCGGCTTGCCAAGCCCATTGGGACCCCCCAGCTGGGGCTGGACCATGGCAATCAGACACAGGGGGACGGAGACGTTTGTCACTGTAAATTTGCCTGGCAAGAAGGATTCCAGGGACACTCCCAGCCTGCGAGGGACTGACACAGCTCAGAGCATTTCACCCCAGGCACAAGATCAACAGCTGGACGTTCAACCTCGCAACAAACAGCAGGTGAACAACTGAGAAGAACTTGGGAACTTTCACGCAGGGACATGAAAGCCACAAGGGGGCGCCAGAAACCACAGCAACCGGAAGTGACCTGTTGCACTGTGGGCCAGGAATGATGGAACTTAATTCACCTCCTACCTGCAGACTTTTCTCTCCCCAAACACAGCAGCAAGAAAGGCACTTTCTGGAAGCCCTGACGGCAGTGTAACCCTTTCAGAGCCATGAAAGAGCAGCAGTGGGGTCACCCATAAGTGACACCAAAGAGGATTTGAAAGGCCTGTCTAGTTAAGAGGAGTTGGACTCAAACCCCTCCAGATGTTTTCGAGCACATCACTTTTGTTTGCACCACAGTAACTCGGTAACTGGTTTTCAAGCCTTCTCATGTGGCTGGCGCTCAGCGAGGAACAGACACTCTAAGTCTGGAAGAGTTAGGAAACGTGGCAGCGGTGATCAGAAAACGAGCATGTGTTCGCCTCACGCACAAGGCATGTCTGACCCTGTAGATTTAACTGTCCAGTGCACGGTAGCCCACACCCCTGCCCTACTGAACTGAGCAGAGAAGTCAGTGACTAACAGTTGATGGCACAGGCTGTCTCCACCATCCATCTCCAGGTCAGATGCCACATGTTCTGCAGAGCTCCCTGCACCTGCAGGTGTGTAACCAACCCTAAGCTCACAGATTCCCACCTTACACAGTGAGAGCCAATACTGCCCATTGCAACAGCCTGCCATTACAGCAGGGAGCTGGGATTCAGGGCCCATCTGTATCAGAGCAAGCTGCACCAGTATAATCACAGTGACGCAGTGACAACAGGGCAAACACCTCCTGGAGATGCGCTGGAGCAGTGCGGCTCGCTCTGGTAACTTCCTGCAGCAAACTGCACCAAGGCAAGCTCCTTTGTGCACCAGTGCAGTGCGTCTGCTTTAGCGGTTTGCACCAATTCAACTGCACGGATGTCATGACATCGGCACAGAGGATTCCTAATGCAGACAGACCTGGATTCAATCCCCTCTGCCAGCTGCTAAGCCCTCCTGGGGCCCAGTGATCAGATCCCAGGGCAGTAGAGAAATCCCATCCCCAACAGTCACCAGCACGCCCTGCCCCCGACGACGGGGGATACAGCAGGGTTCATGTGCACGGCAAACAGACACCCTCTGCACGAGCACACGCTGTCTGTCTGTGCAGCCCGGGGGTGTGAATGGTGCTAAGGGACCCTTCATGGCCAAGCTCAGCGATTGGTGGGTTTCCACACTGCGCTGGTGGAGGGGTCTAGACTGACTTCTACGGCTCATTTCAATAACACTGCAGCACCTGCCGCCCGGCCACAGGCGTGACCTGAAGATCCAGGAAGGCCAGGCTGGTAACCTCAGAGCAACACAGGGAAGGCAAAGGGCTCAGGGATGCGCTGCACCCTGTCCCATTGGACACCCTGGACAGGGACTGTTTCATGGCGCATGGCAAAGGCGACTTGGGTCCAAAGTGCTCAGAGATGGGCTGAGGGGCTAATGTCAGTCAGATTGTCCCGACACAGAGAGTGCCCAGGTGCAGGGGTCTGGGAGGGAGCAGGAGGAGGGTCGGGGAGGAAGATCCCCCAGGAATCCTCTGTCCCAGGGGCAGAAGCCAGACAGGCCGGGAGGAGAGAGTGAGCGTGGTAGGTCACGGGGGAATGGGATGCACGGAGATCGTAGATGGAGGGGAAGGGAGCGGGGCGGAAGCTGGGAACTCACCTGCCAGAGCAATGATGGCAGCGATCAAAGGAGACGATACAACTATCAGTGCAACCACAACTCTACGGGTTGGACTTTTCTGGCAGTTACAAGGAGGGTCTGAAACAGAAAGACCCGTCAGGCAGGGCTGGGAGGACACGTCTCACTGACAGCACCGGGGCTGGAGCTGCCCTGGAACATGCACCGTTCTGTCCATTGCTCCTTCCGTCAGACACTCTGGGAGGGGAGCCCAGAGGGTCAGGCAGACCCCCCCACCAAGGGCAGATGGAGGGTCCATGGCTCCCTAGAGCTACCCTGGGGCTGTTACCAAGATCCGGCTCTGGCTGGGTAGCAGGGCCTCAGAGCAGCAGCCGGGCCATGGTAAGACGCAGCTGTGGGGAACTACAGACCCTCCCCCTGCTCTGGGCAGGGAGCCTGGGGGGAGGGATACGGACCTGGGGCTGCTCTCAGCCCCCCACCCCAGGCAAGTGGAGGGTCATCCACGGCTCCCTGCAACTGCCTGGACTCCAGCTGCCAGCCAGAGGTGGGGTGGGGGGACCTCAGGGGGAAGAGGAGGGGGAGGGGCGGGGCCAGTGACAAAAAGTGGGAGGGCCACGCCCCCTTCCAGCACCCCAGGCAGTCTCAGTGTCTCTCTCCAGCCTGCCCCCAGGCAGAGATGCCCCATTACCTGGGTTCCCTCCAGTCTCCAGGTGTCCATTGCCATTAACACACAACTCCTACAGCGGCTCTTCGCTCTCAGCAACCCAGCTGCTGGCCCCATTGTCCCTCTCAGCGACACTCAGGCCACAGACGCTGCTGCAGGTGCTGGGCTGGGGTCGGCTCCTCTCGGTCTGAGTGGGTCCGATTTGGCAGCAGCAAAGCCGAGGCAGAGGTCCTGGCCCTGGCTCCCCGTCCCTGCTCCAGACTCTCCAGCCGATCTGAACCCGAGACGGACCAAGCAGGACAGGTCAGCGGTGGGGGAGGCCATTTGTGGTTTCTTGTTCCCTGCCCAGCAGCCCAACCCCCTGCCAGAGGCGGTGCCATGATGATTAAAACCCCTTAACTCCTATCGGCCCCTCCGCCCCCAGGGCCTCAGAGACCTGATGTCCTACAGGCCCCTCCCACCCGTGACAGGCACCCAGCTGGGGGTGGGGGAGAAGACCCTCCTCACACACACAATCCTCCTAGAAGTAAGTGTGGGTCGGATATCAGAAGGGGAGGGGCTGGGGCTCGAAACAGCCTTGTCCCTGGCCCAGCCCCCTCCTTGGAGGGCGGGACTTGAACCAGTGTCCAGCGCTCCTCTGCCCAGCCCCTCCTTTCCCTTCCGGGGGGGCTCTCCCGAACCCCCCCCCGCTCTTCGGCCCGGGGCCTGCCCCCCGAATCACCCCCTTTGGCCCAGAGTCCCAGCCCTTCGGCCAAGGACAGGCCCCCGCCACTGCGCTGCCCTCCCCATGCGGTCCCCAGGCACCGCCCAAGCCCCGCCCAAGCCCCGCCCCCCTTTGGAGCCCCGCCCCCCATGCGGTCCCCACCCCGAGCCCGAGCCCGCCACCCATTCGGGCTCCGTCCCTCCCCCTCCCCATTTGGTCCCAGCCCAGCCCGCCCCCATTGCCGAGCCCCCCCCCCCATTCGGGCCCGAGCCCCGGCCCCTCCCCCTCCCCATTCGGGCCCGCGGTCCCCCCTCGCCCCAGTCCGGTGGTGGCTGGAACCGACCCGCAAACCCCGCCGTCCAGCGAGCCAGCCACCGCCGAGCAGCCAGCAGCACCCACCCACCCACCCGCGGCCCGGGCAGGGACCCCTGGGACCCGGAGTCTCACCCGCGGGAAGAGCGCCCGGCGCCGCAGCCCAGGGAGGAGCTGAGGTCCCAGCAGCCAGGCGGGCTCGCAGCGGATCCCGCCCGGTGAGTTCGCAGCCGCAGAGCGACCGAAGAGCGACCGGCTTCCCTGTGACCCCCGCGCCAGCTTCATTCCCACGTGGGTCTGAACAGCGGAAACGTCCGTGCCCGGGGGTCACCGCAACAGCGGCCGATCCCCGCCCTCAGCCCCGCCTCCATTTAACCCCTCGACTCCCGGCCGCTCCGCTCCCCACAAACCTTCCCCCTCTCTCCCGGGCTGGCCGGGTGCCCGAGCGGCATCCCTCCCGGCCCCGGGCAAAGCTCCGATCGGGGCTCAGTCCTCGCCCTCCCTGACCTGCCCGCCCTGCCCGCCCTCCTCCTGAAACCTTGTCCTCCCTCTGCCCTCCCCTGCTCCCCCCACCCCCGACCCCTCTGATCGCTGCTTCCCCCTCCTGCCAGCTCCCCGGGGCCCTTCCATAGGCTCTGTCCTTGGTCCCCTGGGGCTGACCAAATAGTATATAAACACATGGGGCGGGGAGGGTCCTAACTGGTTTGTTTCGGTGTAACAGTGTGTGACAAGGAGGGGGGAGGTCTTGAGAAAAACAAACAAACAAACAAACCAGTAAATGTGACATGGTTTATGGCCAGCCTCCCTCTTCTGTTCTCTTCTCCCTCTGCCCCTCGTCTCTGGGTTGTCTCCTCTGTAAACACAAATTCAACTCCCCTCTCCATGCTGACAACTCACCCATTTGCCTCTCTGCACCAGCCCCATCTCCTGCTGGCCAAATGAACACCTCAGCCTGTCTCTGGGACATCTCCTTGTGCCTACCTAGCTGTCAGCTCAAGCCCAACATGGCTAAAGCAGAGCTCTCTGTCTCTCCCCTCCTGTCCAAGCCCTCTCTATTACCTCCTTTCTCCATCGCTGTGGACAACGCCAGCATCCTGCCTGTCACTCAGGCCCATAACATGTCATCTTCCACTCACACCTCTCTCTAGGTCAGGGGTGGGCAAACTTTTTGGCCCAAGGGCCACATCGGGGTTGCAAAAAGGCATGGAGGGCCGGGTAGGGAAGGCTGTGACTCCGCAAGTAGCCTGGCCCCCACCCCCTATCCACCTCCTCCCACTTCCCGCCCCCTGACTGACCCCCATCCCTAACCGCCCCCTCTGGGACCCCATCCCCTAACCAACCCCTGTCCCTGAGTGCCCCAACCCCTGTCCACACCCCTGCTCCCTGACAGCCCCCCCCCGGGATTCCCACACCTATCCAAACCCCCTGTTCCCCATCCCCTGACCGCCCCCCCCCCCCAGAACCTCAACCTGTGGTGGGAGGGCACTGAAGCCATAATAGTGACATTCTCTAGCCTGTGTTATTTGTATTACTGTAACACATGGGAGCCCCAGTCATGGATCAGGACCCCATTGTGCTAGGTGCTGTACAAAACAGTACAAAAGACAGTCCCTGCACCAAAGAGTTGACAATCGAAGTATAAGACAAGAGACAGATGGAGACAGACAGACAGGGGAGCGCAAGGAAATAATGAGACTGTATCGGTCGGTATGATAGGCAGTGGTCTCAGCACCTCAGGAGACAGGCTGTTGAATTTTTGGTAGACAGCAGGGCAAAGAAGAGCTTTGATTTGGGAATTGGAGATGGATAATGAGGTAGGTTTGCAAATGTTGAAGGGGCTCTCCTCCCGAGCATGTAGGGCATGCGGCAGAGAGCATGAAGGTGGTTGTTTGAAAATTTAACAAGTGGGTGTTGCTGGCAGCATGGACTGATTGGAGGTGAGAGTCAACACCTTGGTACAGTGAATGAGAGATGTCCAGTTGGGAGAGGACAGTACGTGAAGGGCCTTGAAAGCGAAGACAAGCAGCTTCTGTTTGATGCAATAGAGAAGGGGGAGCCAGTGGAGGGATGCAAAGAGGGGTGACATGGTGAAAGCAGTGGGCTAGGAGAATGATCTTTGCAGCTTCCAGCAATATTCCGAATGGAACTGAGCTGGGCAAGATGGAGAAGAGAAGCATGTGGCGGTAACTGAGATGTGATGTGATCAGAGCCTCGATGGGAATTTTAGCTGTGTAGATGGAGAGGAAAGGCTGTATCTTAGAGATGTTATGCAGGAAAGCTCCACAAGACTTAAGCACAGCCCTGGATGTGAGGACCTAGAGCAGAGGTGGGCAAACTATAGCCCGCGGGCCACATCCGGCCTGCGGGACTGTCCTGCCCGGTCCCTGAGCTCCCGGCAGGGGAGGTTAGCCCCCGGTCCCTCCCCTGCTGTCCCCACGCTCCTGCAGCCTCACCTCACTGCGCCGTCGGCGCTCTGGGCCGCCTCTCCTACCGGGCAGTGAGGCGGCGGGGCTGCAAGCTCCTGCTGCTCTGAGCAGCATGGTAAGGGAGGGGGGGGTTAGATAAGGGGCAGTCAGGGACGGGGGCAGTTGGATGGGGTGGAGGTTCTGGGGGGGGCGGTCAGGAGATGAGGAACAGGGCGGGTTGGGTAGGTGTGGGATTTCCGGGGGGGCTGTCAGGGAGCAGGGGTGTGGATAGGGGTTGGGGCACTCAGGGGACAGGGGTTGGATACAATATGGGGTCCCAGAGGGGGCGGTTAGGGATGGGGGTCAGTCAGGGGGCGGGAAGTGGGAGGGGGTGGATAGGGGGTGGGGGTCAGACTGATCTTTGAAAACAGCATGAAAAACCTCAAACCCTGTAACTGCCATTTCTGGGTGGGATCTGGGGTCCCGCCCACCTCAGGGCCAGGGGGCACAGGAGGAGGAGGAGGGGAGGGTGGCGTGGCGTTGATAGCCATGTAAACAGAGTATTAGGGAAGGTTTCTGGCTGTAACAACCGTAACACAAATGTCCACTGGAAACCAAAGGACAGCACATTGTTCATCACAGAGAGCAGGGCTCCCCTTGAAAGCCTCCTACCCCCACCCCCAGAGAACGGGCTGCATGCAGAGCAGACTCAGGAGAGGGGGTGGGGAGAACACGCGGGGCGGGACGGGAGAGGTTGAAATTGAGGTGAGGAAAGGAAGGAGGGAGGATTGAGAAAAGGGGGAACAGGAGAAATGCAGGAAGGGGACGGGGGAGAGAAAGAACTACGGTAGAAGCAGGAACTGGAGAAGGAAAGAGAGCGAAGAGAGGAGGGAGAAGAAGAAAAACCTGAAAGAATCAGGGAGGGAAGGTGGGAGCAGCTCCCAGCGTCTGCGACAAAGAAAACCCAGAGGTGGGAATGAAACCCACAGTCACGGCCCCTGGAATCAAAGTGCACCTCTGAGAGGTGAACCACTGAGGGGGGTTGGGGGGTCAGATTGCACCCTTCAGCCTGGCCCCCCTCCATGCACCATTTAACCTAAACCAGCTCCCCACATCTGCCTGGAATCAGGGAGGTGTTTGCTGCTAGCCAGAGACGCCCAGGTGGGATATGTGAGCCGTGGCTCCAGGGCTCCCTGGCTGGCCACCAACCAGTTGTTCCAGCAGCCCCGGGGCTGGATCGGCTAGCAGGAGGCGCTCGGGGGAGGGGCAGAGAGGAGCAAGTGGCAGGCGGGGGAGGGGCCTTGGGGGAGGGGATGGAGAGGAGTGAGTGGCGGCCATGCGGGGCGGGACCTCGGGGGAAGGGGGCAGGAAGAGGCGGAGCGAGGGCTGGGCCTCAGGGTGGAGCACCCACCAGGAGAAACAAAAGTCTGCACATGTGACGGGCCGGGCGTCCTCTTCAACCACACAGCCTCGTGCCTGTGTCACACTCTGTGCTCCCCCCTTCTGGGGGGCCTGCAGGCCGCTGGTCAGCCACTTCCCTTAGTGGCTACTGCAGCGTATTGTCTGGCCATTTTCTCATGCCCCCAGCATCCTCTTTGCCCTCGCCTCAGGGCCTCAGCCTGCAAGCCCCAGCAGCCTCTCTCGCTCCCCCATTCCCCGCACACTGCCCCCTCGGTCAAGTGGCTGCAACGCGGCTGTTAACCCATCCTGGGTCTTTGTCCCAGCCCTGCTGCCAGCCAGCCATGGGCCCTGCATAATCCAGCAGGTTTTGGTCATTGCCTGACTGCTGCATATGATCTGCAAGCTCTGGTCCTCTTTGGCTCCTGGCAATCAGCAAGCAAGAAGTGGCCATGAGCCACGAGGCTCCTATCATGGCTCTAAATCACGTGCTTGACCCCCTGGGTCCTTTACTGCCGTGGCAGGTTATTAGACACTGCAATGGCCCATACTGTCTGTTCCCTGCTGCACACGTAGAAGGGGTGAACTAAAGGGCTCTGTCCCCTGAAGGGGTTTGGCGCGCTTTGTGCTAATCTGATCAGTGTCATTACAAATGTCCCGCCACGCCGGTCAAGTTTCATTCATTTCAACAGCGGATGTAGTTAAGGCTCTTGGGGCCTTGTCCAATCCAGGATCAGGATGCTAATAGAGTATATGGCCACGCCCCTGTGTGTATTGCAGTCCCCTTGCGGCTGGCTTTTTCCCCGGGGTTTTCCTTGCACTAGCAATGGGGGAAGACATGATGTGTGTGAAGGGGGGAGTTCGGGCTCCCCCCTCAGCGAATGCACAGAGAGGGGGAGATGGAGCAGGGACCTGAGCTGCAAGGAGTGCTGCAGCCATGAAGTCCCTGGACGAGGGAAGCTGTGATCTTCCTACGTAGCAGTGGCTTGTGAAACTGACTCCCAATCCCCTGCTCTGCAAAGAGGGACACGGGCTTGGGTGGAGATCAGAGGTTCTTTGGGAGACCCTGATATTGCAGCAGCCCTATTGTTGTTTTTACAGCCCCCAAAGGTGGGCTAAAGGGCCTCCCAGGACACATGAATGATGTACTATTATTTGCAGATTTAATAATTTTATTAAGATGATGTTGAAGAAAAAAGAAAATGGTACAGAGTTTAAGCATAGAAGTTTCTGGTTATCAGGGAATAAGGTACAGATTACCAAGGGGTGCGAAATTTGGTTTAGGAACAGATGGCGTAAGGAATACATAATCTGCAATCTCCCCGATTGGGGGTAAAAGTTTGACGGGTCAAAGTACAGACATTGAGATATTGGGTCATGTTGTGCATATAATGAGTATGTTCAGGTGTGGAGTATAATGAGTGGATACCATGATGAGGCTGGATTTACCCTCATTTGGTGGGATTTAATGTTCAGTGATTTATGGCTCCCAGCAGAACAGAATCCCAT